TTAAGTAGTTGCCTCTGATATGAGGTGCGGCAAAAATTTTACCATCCATTTTATGCACACCCTAATATTTGGCTCATTAAATCCTACTTAATTATTTGACTCACTTTTCAAGCGAACTAATGTTGACGTAGGTAGTTCTGGTTGAGTTCAACACGAAACAGTTTTATAATTTTTTTTCATATTTTAACATACTTTACAAAAATACTTCATATTTGTTACAAAGTCAAATTATTTATAGACCAGGGTCGATAATTTTTGAAACCAAAAAAAATAACAGTAGGATGAAACCCATTGGAAAAGGAGAAGAATATAATAAAAATGAAAGGAAAAATAAATTACGGGCGATCTGACTTCGGGAAGTGGGAGGGGGGGGGTTTAAGGGTAAAAAATGGTTTATCTCGATTTCCGGCAAAACTACAAATCCTATAAAAAAAAGTTAAATGGCAAAGTTGTAGGTAATAAAAGGATCTACAACTTTTGTTATTACAATTTTTTTACATAACCTCAAAATTTATGTGAAAAATTCAAAAAACCAAGTTTTTTGTTTTTTATTTTTCTTTTTCAAAAAAAAAAAATTCCACGAAATTTGGTGAAAACTTACCTTTTTATGTCCCAAATACACTGTAATTTATTTGATTTGAAATATTTATTATTTCGCCTTATTTTGACTTAATATCAAAAAAGCACCCTAATTTTCAATCGAAAATTCTCGCGTCAAAATATCAGCTTTTTTCAAAAAGTCGGTGTGCTTTTTGTTTGTTAAAATCTCTACTTTCTGATGGTGTAAAAAAAATATACATTACGTATACGTACTATGGTAAATGTTCTCAGAAAATGCAAAAAATATTATAATGAATAACGAAAAAAACTCGAATTCGAAAATTTATTTTAATCATTATGTACAATTTCATCAAAAAAATGTGATTGTTGCAATTTTTTTTAGTTAAAAAGTTTATTTATTAAATTCTAATAACATTTATGTCAGAAAATCTCATAAAATATAAAAATACATGTAAATCATACTATTGAATTTAGATACTTCATTCTGATTACGTTATTCATTATAATATTTTTTGTATTTTCTGAGAACATTTACCATAGTAATGTATATTTTTTTACACCATCAGAAAGTAGAGAGTTCATCGAACAAAAAGCACACCGACTTTTTGAAAAAAGCTGATATTTTGACGCGAGAATTTTCGATTGAAAATTAGGGTGCTTTTTTGATATTAAGTCAAAATAAGGCGAAATAATAAATATTTCAAATCAAATAAATTACAGTGTATTTGGGACATAAAAAGGTAAGTTTTCACCAAATTTCGTGGAAAAAAAATATTTTTTTTTAAAGATAAAAATAAAAAACCAAAAACTTGGTTTTTTGAATTTTTCACATAAATTTTGAGGTTATGTGAAAAAATTGTAAATACAAAAGTTGTAGATCTTTTTATTACCTACAACTTTGACATTAAACTTTTTTCTATAGGACTTGTATTTTTGCCGGAAATCGAGATAAACCATTTTTTACCCTTAAAACCCCCCCCTCCCACTTCCCGAACTCAGATCGCCCGTAATTTATTTTTCCTAATTTTTATTATATTCCCCTCCTTTTCCAATGGGTTTCATCCTACTGTTATTTTTTTCTCTTTTTACCATTTTTAAAGGCTTCTGCACTGTTCTATTATTATACACCGCCGTAAAATAATAAAACTACATTGAAATTATTTTGGAACCACTCCATCTATCGCATTTATCTCGAAATCAGTGCGGGTAACTGTAATTACAGGTTTCTGTAGAATAAATCAGTGGCGTATTGTGGATTTTGGGTATACCGATATCTCAGTTAGTAGACATGGGACCCAAACCAAACTTATATGAGTTTATAATGACAATAAAAATAATATTGTTTTATTTTAATATAAACTACACTGTTTAAAAGTTTCACTATTTTATTTAAATATGACAATTGTTTCGCTACACTGTAGCATCTTCAGAAAGTCGAAACAATTAATTATAAAAATAATAGTTCTGCACAAGCAGAATTTAAATTGAAGTTTGCGAAAAAAGTTAGTTTTTCAGCGCGCTTTAACCCCCTGCCATCCCTAATTAAAATGATTCAAATTAATGTGGTGCAATTCATAATTCACTAAATTTTATCGACAAATTTCAAAATGTATTTAAAAAATCTAAGAATAACAGATTTTATACCTTTTTAATTTTTTATAATTCTAACTAAAATTTAAAAAAAAGTCTTGGATTTTTAAAATAAATTTTAAGAGATGTCGATAAACTTTAGTAAATTATGAATTAAATCACTTTAATTTGAATATTTCTAATGAGGGGTGGCAAAGGGCTGGTGAGGCGCGCTGAAAAAGTAACTTTTTTTGGCAAACTTTGGCAACAATTTAAATTCTACTTGCGCAGAACTTATCTATTTAATGTTATTATAAACTCCTATAAGTTTGGTGTGGGTCCCATGTCTTCTAAATGAGTTATCGGTAACACTATTACAATGTTTAGGTACGCGGAATTGCAGTGTCACCAACGAAATGTTTAAGGGAAAAGGAAAGTAAAGGTAACATTTAAAAGAAATAGCTATGGCTGTTAAAATATTTATTTATTTTTACACTACAAGTTAATGTTAGAAATATGATTTTTTTTTAAATATGAACCCTAAAAAGTGTTAACATTTTAACAATTCTTTTGCTACGTTTCTGTGATATTTTAAGTGAAATTCATATCGTCTTACATTTTTAAAATTAACATTACAAGTAATGCACTAAAACATAATAATAAATAATTAATTTACCTACCTTTTAACAAAAATTTCCAGACTGACCCAAACACGAAATAAAAATAAAACTAGCTGCAGCCCATTTAATTTGTATAACAAGTTTGTATTGTATTTTTACAAATATTATGTATTTTTACATTTTTAAGTAATTTCACCAACTAGATTCCTTTTTACAACGTAAAATTCATTGTTTAACTGTATATACCCGTTAAATTTGTATATTTACATTTATTATTGTAATTTTACGTTCTTATATAAGTAAATTAAAATGTACATTTATTTATATGTAAGGAAAACATGTTTATCATCGTAAAACACTTGTAATTTTACATGCATTTTTTACTAAAATAAAGCAACAGAAAACATGCATGCATGTTTTCTGTTGCTTTATGCGGTATGTATGTATGCAGTATGTTGAATCCAACAAAAGTCTCGAAAAGACCAGAAAACAAAGATAAGTAAACAATAAAAGGTAGAAATTATTTTTATAATTATTTAAAAAAAAAACTTCTAATAAATAACAATTCAATTGTGTTTTTTTAATAGATAATCTCGTGTTCGTAATCCAGTGTTGCCGGATCTTCTAGACGAAAATGACAGATTGATAATTTTGGTTGCACACAGTCAACATTAGCGTTTATTAAGCAAAAGTTAAAAAAAATTATATGGCACTTCTACAATGTAGAATCTACATTCATAAGTGCATAAAAGAAAAAAATATATTATTTTTTAAATGTCATGCATAAATTAAAGACAATAAGAAATAGATAATTTTTTCTCGTCTTCCCTTATACCTGTAGAATTGTCAACATTCACAACACAGTTTAGCAATAACATCCCGTATAGTCTTAGCCACTTTAATAATTTTTTACTCGGAAATCTTGTTAAAACTTTGTGAATGTCTTTTAAGTAGATTTTACTACAATCCAAAACATTTTCAACACTTTCTAATAGCGACTAATATCGTGCCTGAACATCCTTAAATCCTTAATCCATCCATCCATCCTTAAAAAACCGCCCTTGGTGGTGTAGTAGTTAGCACTGCAGACTTGCCTCTGGACTCTAGGGGGGTGGCGACTGATTTATTGGACGTCGCGCCCTTATTATCCAGAAGCAAGGAACACTATAATAGGCCCTTAAGTCCTAAAATAAAACAAAATACCAATGTTGAGTGTAAACCGGGTAGGATTTGTGGGGTGCGTAGGGATGGAAACTACTGCTTGTTGCCGCGGAAACCGGACCGCCACACGCCATGCCACCATGGTACACACCACATGGTACAATACCATGAACGGTGTATGTGGTGGGAGTGAGTTCGGGACAACAAGCAGTGGCGAAAATCCAATGCACACTCCACAAAAAACAGTAGCCTATCAAACAATTCTTTACCAGGTTTTTTTAAATTTTCCTGGGCAACCACATAAAATTATCATTATAATAATGGCAAAAATGCCACGAAATCATTAAATATTGACTCAGGTCCTAATATCAGCAATGCCACATGATCACTAGGTGAAAAACGGCCAGACTCACCAGAAATTATTAAATGGGAGTGCAATATGGAAGGCGACTAACAACGTCGGCAATTCGAGAGGTCATGGCCCCCGGATGCAGCTCGATACAGAAGCTCCAAAATATCATTTTTGTGTATAACTCTGTATTCAATTTTTGCTACTTGTATATTGTATAACCATGTTGAATCTGTGATATTAATTTTAAAATAAATGTATTTGATTTGATTTGATTTGACTGCAGACTACAAGCCGAGAGGTCGTGGGTTCGAATCCCACCAGGGGTATGGTTGTTTATTTGTGTTTGTCATTGTGTATTTCTGTAATTGGGCCTGGTGCCTGTTGAAAGCACATTAAAAATAATAAAATAAAATAAAATAAAAATAAAATAAAATAAATAATAATTGGTTGTAGGGTTTATTCTCGTCCTCTAGCAATCTTACTTTACAATTTTTTGATGAGAATTTTGGTTATATTTCTTAGAATTAACATTAACCTTAATTTATACAATGAAATCTAAATTTGTCAGGATTTCTTTGACATAAACGCTGCAAAGCTCTTATTAATAGTCGCTCTATGGTGAGCGGAAAACCAGTTTTTCAAAACAGAAAGCGCAATTTCGCATAAAAATATATTCACACTTATCTTTGCAATGAATGTTTTTGTGCGTTTTAATGATTCTTCAGGAAATAATTTACTTCGCTCCATTTTCTTTTCTCTGCTGATTGCATTTTTGTTGAAGAGAAAAAAGATTTCTGGGCGAAGACGTAAGCAGAAATATTTTTTAAATGAAAGTCGATTTAGGAACGAAATAAAAAGTGCTGATTTATTATATTTTTAATGGGCCCATTTAAAAGTCGTTAAAGCATAAACAAGATTTAAAATATAGAAGGATGACGGAATATCAAAAAACCATTTAGATTTTTTACAAAAAAAAAATATTTTAATAATTAAAAACTTAGGTCATCAGTCATCACTGTCTCTGTCATCTGTCGAAAATAATTCTGTTTTCGGTAAAAAATAACCAGCCATTTTTTGCAAGAATCGTGTGGAAGCTCATAAAATAAGCTTTACCCTAACTTTGTTGGATTCTACTTCCTGCGTATTGAGGTGAAAACTATTTTTCATATTTTGTTTTGATTTTTTTTTTAAGTTTTACAATTATTGTAATCCAAAAATTTAGGATGCTCTATAACAAAAAATCAAAAAGTATGTGACGCTGGAATACCCAATTTAAAAAAAATTGTCTGCAGGGGGTTGGATCCAGCAAAGTTTGCGTTAAGCTTTTCTGATAAGCCCGAAAAGATTCATGCAATTTTTTTAACAAATTGACTGTCCTATTAGTTATAATATTGAAGGTTTGTTATTTATTAATTAATATTGTCAAAATTCTACAAAAATCAAAATAACGAGTACCCAAATTTAAAATATTAGCATTTTTATAAAAAAACAAAAATAATGGTATTTTTACACTCCCACCTTTAAAACGCCCATTTCGTCCATGTTTCCATGACATTAATTGACCTTTTAAATACACATTGACAAGTTGTGGATTTATGGCGTTTTAGTCACGGGCTAAAGTAAGTTTTAGAATAAAGTGTCTTTCTTGTAAATTAATACTAAATGTGAAAATTATTTTATTATCTCAATACAAAAATACAAAAGTATTAAATAGTTTCTCAACGCCAATATTTGAAAAGTTTAAATGAATATTGTACTGACCTTTTAATTTCGGCGGCAGTAAACTAGATATAACTTAATTGCTCATAAAACATTTTCTTCACTTTCACTGTGAAAAACTGTTGTTAATCCATTTTAAAGGAATAAAAATTTGACATTTGACCGTAACACAGATTCTATTGTTTTATAGATGTCGCTTTATACAAATATTTAATTTTAATCATTTTTACATAATAATAAGTATTTGTCGAAGAAAAAGTTTACCTAGTATGCAACTCGTTTATAAACTTTTCTATACACTCGCAAGCTCGCTCGTGACTAAATTAAATTCGTGTCTAAAATTGCGTTTATTAAACTTGATATATAAAATACTATTTTCTACTCCCACCTTTAAAACGCCCATTATCGTACATGTTTTCATGATATACATTGACAAGCTATGGCTTTATGGCGCTTTAGTTATGGGCCAAAGTTAGCAACAGGTTTTTTGTCACGGGGTGAAGTTAGCTTTAAGTTAGTTGACATTTGTTAAATGTCATACAATCTTTAAAATAAAAGTACAAAAAACATAAAGTGCAAATAATCTATAGTGTAACAACTATAGTATATACTATATATACTATACACTGTATACAGTGAGTGGAGACTACCCTACGGTCAAGGAAGTGTTAAGTGATAAGTGACCTTTCCAGGCGGTCTAACCACCTGTCAATCGCTCTAAGTAACCATAACCATCTGCATGACCTAACACATAATTTACAACACTAGCCACGACAGATAACTTTAAAAACTCTAAGTGAGGCACTTTTCGCTTAAACACTAGAAAAAAAAATGAACAAAGTGCATCAGTAACATTACTAAGACAATAGTATTCAAACAACAACAAAAAAACAAAAATAACAAAACAAAACCGCTCCACTACGGTCATTCACAGGAAAGCTAAGTAGGACAAAGAATCTGTCAATAACTAACGTGTAAACCCATGAATTTAAGAGGACGGCCCCAACAAAATAAATAAAGTGTTTAAACTAAACTAGACTAAAAATAAACATTCGACACCACGAACTTACGCGTATAGCAACGGCCCGGCGAATTTTGGAAAGGCTATTCAAATTATTGGAATTTCGCTCTCGAGACCCAAATAGAGTACAGTACGTGACGCAATGGCACCCAGCAAACACGGGTGAAGCCGTGCCGTTGTTGGTGGCGAAACAGAGGCCTATAGGGGGTCCGGAAAATTATTATTCGTTGGAAGCAGAAAAATAACAAAAGCATTGTGCTGCACTATCTCAGACAAAGTATTATTGTTTAGGAAATTAATAATGTAAAGAAAAGGTGATTGTACGTAAAGATTATTAAATTATTTTTAACATATTTTACTCTGCACGATTGTTTTATCTTTTAAGAAACTTTTTCCATAAACGATCAAAAAATAATCAAGAGTCGAAATAACGAGAATATAATAATGTCATTATTAAAAAATATAGTTTATGATAGTAAGTATATCTGTTTTAACAAAATGCAGATAAATATTTAGGGTGGTAAAAATTTCACCTCATTTTCCACCGCATATTAGCAAATAATGCAGTCAGGGCCGGAAATTGGGGTCTTTTCCAATAATATTATATACCTAACTATAAAAACAACACAACACAAATTAAGTGTCGAGTTTCGTATATACAGAGCGTTAAATAGGCCGGTCAGGGTTTACAGTGAAAAAAAATCAATATTTATTTATTACAAAACTTTAAGAATATGTTTTTAACCCTTATGTGACTGAATGGGTACCCCGCTGAATGCATGGATAAGCTTTTAGATATGAATATCTTTTTTGATTAAAATCGAGGAGGTTTCCATTTCGTCCGCTACAGTCCAAAAAAACTATCTAAATTGAGGGTTTTTTTCCGGAAAAAATTGGGAAATTTTTAGAAAAGACTTGCATTTTGCTCATTTACAAATTTTTACTGAAAATATATTATGTAGGTACTATCTGTACACTGATATCGAGAAAAAAGTGAATTTTCGACGCTGAATATAATCATATCATTTCATCAATTTAATTTAATTCAATGTTTAGTTTTATTTTTTTTTAATTAAATTAATGTTAAATTGTTGATTGTTACATTTTTAAAATGTATATCGACACTTTAAAACCCTAGTATATATAATATACCTATAGGTATAAATATTTCAGACCCAGCTTTACCATAAAATATAAACTGATTAAAAAAAAAATACCCCGGAGATTTCAAGTTTCTAAAGAATATGCAATCCATCAGGAATTACAAAAAAGTTTATAATTACACTAAATAATGGTTAACCTAAGACTGCCATGAGTAGGCCCCTTGATTTTTAAAATTTAAATTATTAACAAGTTCAAATATAAGTATACTTATAAGTTCGCTGGAAAAAGCTTGTAATCAATTTTCATATCCCTTATTACAATAAGAGTGTTGCAAAAGACTACTAACAAATTTAAAATAACAAAACAATAATATTTACCAAACAATCACATTATTTCATAAGCAAACTAGGGGCCCCATTTTATTTTACCGCCCGGGCCTCCGATGGGTTTAGTCCGCCTCTGGTTTCAGGTAATTATGTTTTGGTACAGTATTATAAATTAAACCAGTGGAGATTTTATTGTCCTAACAGAGAAATAATAGGAGAAAATACTAACAATGTAACATTTCCTAATTATCTAAAGTGTATGTATTATTATATAATGGAAGTTGCGTGTTATACATTTAAAATAAATTTAAAAACAGTTTTCAATTTGATCGTTGAGAATAATATTAGTTTTTTTACATTTATTAATTTCTAAAAACTCTAATAAATTAAACTTCAAACGTTTATTTGCTATATTGTGTTTTCATTAATTAATTAGTTTGCATACCGACGTTGAATCCGTTTTATAATTTACTAATGCTTTTCTACGTTCATTAATTCAAGTTTTAAAGTAACAGCCATTTTGTCTAATATAGGTTTTAGAATACGTTAATTGGTATGTTATTTCACAAGTGAGAATTACCCGAGTAACCTGATTTAGCGCAAATTAAAGTCTAATGGTGGTTCTACACCTGTGTCAGTCAGGTTATAAAACTAAGATCAGGAACATATTTACACAGCATGGCCTTGTTGTAATCGATGCCATACATAAATCTACACGGAGAGAAATGTATAGTAAATTTTAAAAATATAGTAAAATTTACTTTAAAAAATTTTTAGGGTAACAATATTATATATTCGTCAATACAAGATATAATACAAAATACTATTTTTTATTATATAATTTTAGTAAGGATTACAACACCAATATTACTAAATCATAAATGTATAATATATATTTTAATTTTTAATATGTTAGTATAGTAAATTGATTTTACTATCTACAAATAGTAATATTTACTATATGATTTAATCAAATGTAAGGTGTACATCTAATATTATAATATATTACACATTAATAAAAAATATAGTAAAAATCAAGATACTTTTATGTTTAAGGTAAATAAACAATATATTTAAATATAATATACAATATAGTAACTCATGACATTTTAAACATTCAATTTTCTTAGTTTCTTCAATAAAATTTCTTGACCCATTACTGGTAATACTTATAAGAAAGAATTGAACCTACTTGGTTGCATAGTATGTACCGATTGCGGCAAAGGCCACGTCGCGACGCGTCGTTAGACGGTGTGGATCACATGTTCTTAAATCTCGCCTCTGTTGGCTTACCAACCATGTTATATAAGCTCAAGTATTTCTTTATTTTGGGTGTGTTCCACTTCTACAAGTTGCTCGACAGTGTCGTGTCGACACTGATGATACCCAATATAGGTCAAAACACCTGTCTGTCGGTATTTGAAGTTGATGGAACGCACTCAAAACATAAAACTTTGGCGTGGTGTAGGTTCAATTCTTTCTCGTAACATTTTTGTATATTAAAAAGTACAATAAATATGTTACAATTTTTAATTGTTAACAAATAAAAATATTCGATTTTAAAATATTTTATATTT